CCCCAAAACCCCAAAACCCCAAAACCCCAAAACCCCTTAAAGATTTTTAAAATGGAAATTTCAAAATATGTTAGATATCTAAAGGCCTTTATTATAGAACAAAATTTTGATATCAGCGTTTGAGGAGTCGATCAGGTTTTGAAAATGAGACTCTAAGCCTGATACAGAGGTAGAGGCTTCTTGCTGAAAAAGAGCTCATGCAAAAGTTGGACCACAAGCTAGGAATATGAAGAATATAATTATCTGAGTCAACATTTTAGGAAACATAGCTTTTGGCATTAAAGAAAGCCTTTCTAGAGTATAAAAAGTTAATGTTGGCAGCAGTAAAGGTGGGATAGGCATCAAGAAGCGAGTTATTGCAGATCTAAGAACTGCTTTCTTTCCTGTTATTTTAGAAACCCCTCTTTCTTTTCCTTCATGATCTCTTAGTATAATTCCATCTCTCATTTCTTTTGACCGCATTATTAATAAATTTCAGAATCCTGCTGAACCAACAGCTGACAAATTTACAATGAAATTGATAAAGATTTGGCTTGGTCCATGAAATTTCTTAGCGATTGGAGTGAGTAATTTCCTCATACCAAGTCCAACGCTGATAGAAGAAATAATTGCTGCTCAATATGCAGTTATTAGATCTTTATTCGTAAACTTCCCTGAAATGCTCCTATTTGAGTAGTTCACTCCAGCCGAATAAGTTTGATTGAACCAATGCCAGAAAATTGTGTTAAAAATAGTAGGTTTCGCCAGCAATAATCCAAAATTTACAGGTATAAGCATTGTAGCATATGAGCATAGTCTCATTGGTCTAGGAATCAGTTCTCCTGTTTCAGGATGATATGCTGATTTGACTATATTTTTAGCTCTTTCTACTTCTTCTTTATCTAAAATATTCTGAGAAGTATCTAAATATCCAATAAATTTGAAGAATTACCAAGGTTATAGACCAAATCTCTAGCTTTCTCAATAGTTGAATGAGGGAGATAGAAATTGAATGGATTCTGTGTCTTTGATAGTATCTTAACTCTTTCCCAATAAGTTGTCTTTCTCCTTTCAATCTTTGGCTTATTAGGATGAAGATCGTGAGCCATTTGTTAAAAATTATTCTTAAATTTCAATAATCTCTTATATCAGTGGGGTTTTGGGGTTTTGGGGTTTTGGGG